GCAAAGCATATTACTAGAGATGCCTGTTGGATTCAAAAGTCCTAGGAATTTTTGGTTAAGGGGTTTCATTATTTCATTGGAAAAGTGAGAATATTTCACAGGACCATAGTTGTAGAGCTATAAGGGAGCTTACAGGTCAATATAGTTCAACCTCATTTTACAGATGAGAATATTGAAGGCAAGAGAAGTTAAATAATGTGTACAGAATCAAATAGAAAATAAGTTACGGAGTTGGAATTAGACTGAAGTCCTATGACTTTGACTTCAGCGCAGAATTCATGATAGTAGTGGAATAGTGTTGTGAGCTAGCCTCTTTAGCCAAGGGGCAGCCAGATGGCACAGTGGATAGAATGTCGGGCCTGGAGTCAGGAAAATCCAAGTTCAAATCCAGCCTCAGACACTTACTAGCTGTGTGACCTTGAGCAAGTCACTTAATCCTGTTTGTCTCAATTTTATCTGTAAAATGAGCTGGAGAAGGAAATGCAAACCATCCTAGTATCTTTGTCAAGAAGACCCCAAAGAGGTCATGAAGAGTCAAACATAATTGAAATGACTGAACAACAACCACAAATTTGTCATATCCCCCAATATTTAACTCATTGCCCATATCAGGGACTCTTAACTATTTTTATTTTGTGGACCATTTTGGCAGTCTGGTAGGATTTTTGATAAGTGTATTTCTATTATATTGAAATCTGAATAACTTTTTCTATACTATATATATGTATATATATATATTTGATAACTATTTCAATATAATTGAAATATAGTTATATATAGTATATAAATATACATATACACATTTACATATATATGAATATATTAAAAAATCAGAAGTACAGAGAACCCTGGTCTAGTTGGGTTTCTAAGTAAAAAGGCTTTTTTCTGCTCTAGGAAGTCATGTTGAAAGGATCTATAATTTTTTCCTCTCAGTTCCAATCTCCAAGTCAAATACAGCATTAAGGCAAAACACCTCATAAAATCCCTTTCTTCTCTAGGGATGTTTCCCCCTCAATTACCTTCTCCAAACTACACTCCCCTTCTAGATATACCCCCATGCTCAGGCAAATGTCTTGCTGAAGAGAAAAAAAGCTGATTTTCTCCAGCTTTTATTTGCTTTCATGCCCACATTTGTTGTCCCATGCACAGGTGCAGGAGTGAATATTTTGAAAAATACTGGGCCTATGTGTAGAAGAGCATGTACATGTGCCCAGAGCACACCATTATATTTTTGTATTCTGTGGAGGGGTCCTGTTGTACTGTGGCTCTTTTGTGTGTATCTCAGTTGGTGGAGAAGTGATCTGCCAGCACATATTTGTGACAGTCCACTTCTTCCCCTGGCAGAATGCAGAATCAGGAAAATTAAGACAAATAGTCTCCACCTTTGTGAAAGTTAGCTTAGCATTATTTCTGGGAGAAACAATATTCTAGTAGCCACTGTAGGGCATGCTGCCTTGTGGCAAAATATCTCCAAATGCTTAACACCGAAAACTCTCAGTTTTCTAACAGCCCATCTGGAGGAATCTGGAATCTTCTGAATGTGCCATAGACAGTATTAAAAATAGGCCATCTACCCAGGCTGAAATGAAAACATGTTTAGAATTTTTTGGTAGCCAATTCTTTATATATAATATATAAAAAACACCATCAAACAGCCTGGACAGCATTCAAATAACCCAAAGAAGCTGGATTCCAACAGGAAAAGACTATCTTCCAATACCCCAAGTCCAAAAAAATGATACTGTCACATTAGAAGCCTCATAATACTGGCCCAATCTGTGATGGCTGGGATGAACTTCTGTTGTTTCTGATAGGCAGCTTTTTTGATCAAGTTATTCTAAGCAACATCAAAAAGACTCTGCTGTGTCATATTCAGCTGTTCCTAGTTGGCTTTGGGAAAATGCAAAGAGCTAGCTCCAGATTTGTGGTCCTTGGCAGATGCCATGTAGCTTCATGTGGCTTTTACTGGCTAGATGCAGAATACTTCCAGCACGCTGATCTCACAGTGAAAAAGGCAGGCATATGATGCTTTCTTAACTGTGGCAAGCCATTGCTACCCATCTTAGCAGAAGGGAGTGATCGTTTCAGAAAGGAACAGTGAAAGTAAAGGCAGAAAGCACAAGTAAGATCTACATAATCTAATACAAAATGAAAATTTCATTAGAGGAGCCCCAGAATCTCCTTTGGGGCTAGATTAAAAGGAACCTGTATGTTGCAGGGGGCTGGCAGCTAGGTACTGCATGGGATAGAGCAGTGGGTCTGGTGTCAGGAAGACCTGAGTTCAAATGTGACAGACCACTCACTCACCCTGGGGAAGTCTGAACAACGTAAAGTCTGAAAGAATGAACAACAGCCACCGCTTCAATAATGGCAGGTGTCCTGATCCTACATCTAGCTGTTCCTATTACCCTTCCTTGAGGCAGGTTGGATAAGCCTGTTCCTCATCCGCTAGACCTCATTAGACTGGAGCTCCTGCAGAGCAGGGGCCACTTCTTCCCTCTTTTCACCCCCAGCAATTAGCACAGTATTGGTCACATAGGAAGCACTTAGGAGGTATTTATTGACTGACTAAATTCATTTCCTCCAGTGTTTGATTTTTCTGACTTTTCTAATGCAACAGAGGCTGAGCTCTTCCCTTGGCCATCATCCCTATGTGTTCAAAGCCCCACACGCAGAGATCTCTTTTGTCATTTCTCACGGGCAAGAGGGAAAAGAACTTTAGGAATCATCTATGCCGTGCCCCCAAAGCCTTTCAGGAGATGTAGCCTCAGGTGCAGTGAGGGACAGGGGAGCTGAAGCAGGCCGGGAAAAGTGAAACACCCAAGTCCCTGCCCCAGCCAAACAGCTTTGGTGTGAAGGAAACACTACCATCTACTGTTCCAAATGAGTCTGGGAAAACTTTTAAATTCCAATTCCTTCTTCTCTGTATGTCTTTAGGTAATCCCTTTAAACTCTAGGTGACTTTTATTTTTCCTCATCAGTAATAGCAATGTACTAGCTCTTTTGGTGGCTTTTTTTTTTAACCTGCAAAAATCACATTTAAAGTCGCTAAACTGTTTGGAGATGGGAGGGAATGGAGAATACACATATTGCCATATTCCACAACCCAACAAACACAAGTGAGTAGGGCTGAAATACAGGTGTGTGAGTGGTTTGCATCTCTCAGCTCAGGGATGGTACCAGATTTGATTCGTTCAGTTCTTCAGTTGGGTCTGACTCTGTGACCCTGTATGGGGTTTTCTTAGCAAAAATACCGGAAGGGGTTTGCCATTTTCCTTCTTCAGTGGCTTAAGGCAGACAGAGGTTAAGTGACTAGCCCAGGATTGCACAACTAGTGAGTGACTGAGGCCAGATTTGAACTCAGGTTTTCCTGACTTTAGGCCCAATGCTCTATCTATGGAGCCATCTAGCTGCCTCTATTAAAGTGGTGGTGGAGTAGTAATCAGCAGTGAATTACATAAGCAGGTTAACCCTAGCCTCTGCCTGTACCATAAGAGTCAATTGGTTGCTTAAACACCTGAATTTTCTGTTCATTTCACCTAATAGCTATCTGCCCAGTGGGTATCAGTTGTAGTGAGGCTCTGTCCTAGTTTGAGAGTGTGGAGGGTGAAGCCCCCTACTCTTTTATCAAGTCTGACTAAACTGCTAAGCAAAGATAATGATTCTTTGGCTTTTGATTGAGAGTTGTGAAGTGGCTAAGTAGATGGGCTATTAAATGAAGAATTTTGGGATTTTTTTTTGAGGTGATCAGGGTTAAATGACTTGCCCAAGGTTACATAGCTAGTAAGCGTCTGAGGCTAAATGAAGAGACTTTGGTTGGTAGACACATAGATGAAAGTCTAGGCAGACACCAGAATACTGTGTAGCTGATACAGGAGAGTGAGCTAATGGCTGACTGACAAAGTCATTGTGATAACTCCTGGCAGAGACAAACACATAGCTAGGCTGAGGAGCAATGCAACCTTTTCTGTGTTTTCTTATTGCTCCCACCTTAGTTTTCTGGGAGATTTACATAGAAATCTTACAGCTTTGACTTTGGTCTTGTAGAAGGCCCTTTTGGGGAGGAGATGAAGGAAAGAAGGATGGCAGCAGTTATGTAAAGAAGAACAAAACTCTCTAATAACTAATGCCAGCAGTCAGATGTAATGCGTCTTAAATTATGTCCAACAAACGTAACAATGATACGCAGAAGGACACATAATAACTGTCTACAGTAAAACTCTCATGGCACAGTTAGCCTGCAAGGCAGTCATTAATGCTACCCTTTGATGCCTATGTTAAATGGTTCCACTGCATTCAATTTGGCTAATTTTAACAAACTTTTATTAAGCATCCATCATGTGAAATGCACTCTCCTACATCTTGGGGAAACAAATTCAAGACCAAAAGAGTTTCTGCCCTCAGGGGGCTTCTATTCCACTGGGAAAAGTACATCCATGCACAGAATAAAGGGAACACGAATAACTGGAAGAATCAGGGAAAGAGCTTCACAAAGTTGCAAATGAAAAAGGCCTCACACAGACCCACAAATCTAGATGAAAACAAAAAAAATCCAAAAATATTCCCATTTTGGGTACTCTATATGTGGATTCTGCTTTTCAAAAGATGGGCTCTTGATTATGGTACTCTTGGCTCTGAATAGCTGGTCTCTACTAATTCTTATGGAGCAGCTAGGTAGCACAGTGGATACAGTATTGGGCCTGGAGTCAGGAAAACTCATCTTCCTGAGTTCAAATCTTGCTTCAGACATTTATTAGTTGTGTGACCCTGGGCAAGTCACTTAACCCTGTTTGCCTCAGTTTCCTCATCTGTAAAATGATCTGGAGAAGGAAATGGCAAACCACTCCTGCATCTTTGCTAAGAAAACCCCAAATGGGGTCACAAAGAGTCGGACATGACTGAGAAATGATTAAACAACAATAATTCTTATGTTGCTGTGTATGAAAGCTATAATAGGCTTCAGAGACATCACATAGAAAAATGAAAATGGTTTGCATTACCTGGATGCAAGAGACCTTGGAACAACAATGGTCATTCTTGTCCACACCTCGAAGTCCCCAGTATAATACACAGTGGGTTCCCTCAGTTCCCTGGAGCTTCCTTCGCATCCTTTGCCTCCAGGGGATGCTGGATAGCAACCTTCCTTAACCAGGGACCAGAAGAGGCCAGCATCATGGGAATACTGCAGAAGGACCGGTGCAGAACTGCTGAACTGATTAGTGCAACCTATGTTCAGCTGGAAAAGGAGGGATAGGATTACAGAAGATCCTGCTTCAAATCAATCAGTGAGGCAAAGATTTTTTTTATTTATTGAATGCTAACTATTCACATGTGACATATAATATGTTCTGTGGCAGCCAAATTGTTCATCAATTTGTCATCAGTATGTAATCCTCAACTTTATATAAATGGATCCTAATCATAGGCCCAAGACACTTTGACATCTTCTGAAGAACGTTAGGCATAGATGCACATAGACGTGGTTTCAGATCCTGCCTTTGAAATTTACTAGCTGTGTGACTCTGGGCAAATGCTTAACTTCTCTGAGCCTCAATCTCCCCATCTGTAAAATGGGGATAACCAATAATTTACCAGAGTTTTTCAAGTGAGATAATGTATAGAAAGTATTTTGCAAACCTTGAAGCACTATATAAATGGTAGTTGTTGATACCAAGTATGATTTTGTTGGCTTAAAAGCATTCACAGGCTTGAGGAACTCCTGATGAGGAAATGATTTCTAAGGTGCACAATGGCACCTTAGAGTCTTAGCCATTATACCTCTGAGGTAGAGGACCCTGGTCTTGCCCTCCAGCCCAGCTCTCTATCTAGGTCTACAGCATGTTGCCTTTCTGATATTTTCCTTTTCCTCATTTTTTTCATCTTATATTAGAAGAAGTTCACACAGAAATTGTTCTGGGACAAGGGCCTATCTGACCACTCATCTTTTATGTTGAATGTTCATAGACAAGAGGTGTCAAAACATGTAGACACTCCTGAATGTGGCCCTAACCAGAGTAAAATGTAATGGTGAAATAGTTAAGGAAGTAAAAATACAATAAAACATTGATAATACTATATTTTAAAACTAAGTCAACATGCAGCTCAAAGGGAGATATATGTATATGTATATTTATGGATTTGGTAGCATCTCTTTCTATTTGAATTTGATACCACTGGTGTAGACTATTGCTCAGGGGTATAAAAAGATGGCTTTATTATTATTATTTTTTCTTAAAATCTTATATTTGATGGAGTTCATATGGAAAAGGCTGAGGCCATGTCTTTCTCCTCATATTGTTCTACTGATTTTGGTGTCATCTTCCTCATCCTCCCCTTCTTCTTCCTCTTCTTCTTCTTGACATAACCATCTTAGCCAGTTTCTTGAAATTTTAGATGATGAGCCAAACCAAAGATTGTCAGTGGGAATATGGCCATGGACCACGAATGAGAGGTTAAAAACCTGATTTATTTCCACATTTCAAAGAGAAGTTAAGAGCATAGGAAAGGGAAAAGCAGCAACATTGGGAAGGTCTTGTTAAACATAAGGATTATCTTAGAGTCAATTGTCTTTGATGTTTTTTTTTAAACAAAACAAAACAAAACCAAGCATCTCAAATCTATTTTCCTGCCAGAAAAATACAAAGTTCAGCAAGAAAACTGTCCATTTAGATAAAAGTACTAAGCTATTTATTTTACAGGGGTAGTTAATGCACAAAGTGACATAATGTAATCAAGAAACAAAAACATTGCTAGTGGATTTCATTGGATTATGAAGTGAAGTGCTCTACAATTGACTTTACAGTCACTGACTTGCTCAGGGTAACCCAGTGGAATCTAAAGAATTGGATTTGGCATCACAAGTACTGGGTTTTAACCCTGACCCTCACTTCCTTACTCATGTGACTTTGTGTGGTGAGTGGAAAGAGTAGATTTTTAATCTGAGGATCTTAGGATCCTGTCTGTTATTTATTCTCTGCAGGATCATGCTTAATTAACTTTACCTCTCTAAGGCTGAATCTTTCTTATTTATAAATAAGGAGGGTTGAGGTAGATGATATCTAAAGATTTTTTTTTCAATTTCTAGGTTATCTGCCATCATGCCAGTTCTCTTCCATTCTGCTTCCCCCCTTACTACATAAGAGGTTGTCTCCAGAAGACTAGAGTTGTAAGGCTCCTCAAGAGGTCATTTACTGTAGGCTCATACTTTCAAGATGGCAATCATTCATAAGCGACAGTCACCTACACTGCTCTAAGGGAGACTGAGTGAAAGAAATTCCAATCTTCCTTAGTTTTGACTTCCAAGACAAAAATTATCTCTCAGAAGGGATTTTTAAATTAGCCTATACATATTCCATTAGGATATGTTCTTTTTAAGTTTATAGGATGAAGTTAAGAATATAATTTAGTCTCATCTCTCAGCTGCTTATTCTTATCATCCTAACATATTTTCTTCCATATGAAATGACTAAGAAGAGTCTTTGACTGGTATATAGTGAGAGAACCATGTTTACAACCAGATTCAGTGGTATCTTTCAAGTTTAATACTCCTTGACTATGCTGTAGTATCTGACACTGTGGACTACCATATGCTTTTTATTTTGTTCTTACCCCTTAGCTCCTGAGATACTATACTCTCCTGACTCCTTAAACATTCCATCTCCTTCACTGGCTGGACTGTTTCAGGTAGTTTTTTACTAAGGCCCCTCTTGGGCATACTTATCTTGGCAATCTCATTCTCTCCCACAGTTTTAATTTTCACATTTATCTATGCAGGTGACTCATAAAATCTTTATTTCTAGCCTTCATCTTTCTTCTGTCAAAAATGAGCTTATCTATCAAATGTTGAGGACTCAGGGAAAAGAGGAACAGCTGTGTGTGTGAATCTGTGGGGCACCCACATGCCACCAAGCCCTCTTGGTATCAGGCAGGTAGCATAAGGTCTAGTATTAGTCTTGGAGTGTCTGGCAACTGGTCTGGGTATGGAGGAACGAGGCTGAATGGATGGCTGAGATGGGAGTCTGAGTGTGAATCAATGCAGAGAACTTTACTCCTGGGAGCTTAGAAAGAGTGAATATAGAGTGACTGAGAGATAGAGGATTCAGGGAATAAGAGAGAATACTCATGCATTTTTTCTATTCTACAATTATTTATGTATATGTTATTCTCCATTATTCTGCTGTAAACTCTAGGAGGCCAGGGAAAATGTTGTATCAAAACTTAGAATCTCCCCTAGAGACAATAAGTATCTGCTTACAGGGAAGGCTTAAAAATATTTATTGAACTGAAATTAATTGAATTTGTAAAACAGCAGTGTATTAGCCAAGATTTTCAAAATACCAGAACCATTTCATCTTTCAAATGCAATGAAAAAGCTATTCTTTAGAGATTAGGCATTAGGGCAATCATATACAGGCAGGTAGGTGGCACAGTGGATACAATGCTGGAGTTGGGGAAATGAGTTCAAATCCTTCCTTAGACACTTACTACCTGTGTGACTGGGCAAATCACTGAACCTGTCAGCCTCATCTATAAAGCAGGCTTAAAATAGCACCTACCTCATAAAGTTGTTATGAGGTTCAAGTAAGATAACATGTAAAGCACTTTGCAGATCTTAAGGCACTATATAAATGTTATTATTATTGCGATGGTGTAAATACACACTCTGAGAGCTATTATGTTCTGTACTAACTTAGAATTCATTTTAAAGAAATAATGTGTATTTTTTAAACTTCACGTAAACAATTTGCACAAATAGTCTTTATTTATTCAAGTGGCCATTAATTCATTCTTAGTCTATTTATTTCCTTTTAAAGGGATAGAAAATGAATACCATTTCATCATTACACAATATGAGAGCCATAAATCAATGCAGAAATAAAGGGCAGATGTCACTACTGTGATAGGTGAATTAAAGCTTTTTTAATGTTGTTATTCTGCCGGTTGTTTGAAGAATTAACAACACTTTAGGTATTGTTAACCATCTCTTTATTTAGATGATATATCAGGTGTAGAATCATGTTGACTATAACACCTACAGTGTCGTGATTTTGTCACTCATTAAATAGAAAAGGTGTCAAGACAATAAATCATATGTACATATTTCTGGAGACGCATTTGCATATTGAAGTTTTTACTTAACATTTTTGGAAGTGCTAGCATATGAATGTAAATTCATCTATTGAGAGTGAGGTTTTTCACTTGAAATCTAACACTAAAACTTAAATTGGTAATGATAATATTTTACTAGTTTTTTTTTTTAAACTAGCTTTCCCATTTATAGAACTATGGGAATTATATTTGAAGAGTTACCTGTAAACATCTGGTTTCCTTAATAATTCTATTTGTAAATTATTTAGTGCCTCTACCTACCAATTATGTAAGGACCATGTAGTTGTGCTAGCTCATTAAAACTGCATTGCTTTCGACCCTTAGAATTCACCAATGGGATTTCATTATAAACTCAATAAAATTTTGATTAGGATCCCGAAACAACAGCTTGTCAAAGCAAATACTTACTATACATGTTGACATGTTGTCACAATGCTGAAAAATTTGGTGCAACAAGCTTTTAAGAGAAAAACGATAATTGGAGCCGAAATTTGCAGACAAGGAAGTATAATTATTTGTGGGGAAAAAAAAACTTCTCTACAACAAAAGCATAAAATAGCTTGTGAAGTTCTTAAAGCACTTCTAAGTGAAATAAGAAAGTTCATCCATTCCCATCTGGAACTATGACATTCATTAAACCACAAGTGGGATAAAGTACTAAGTTAATTTTCTTTTAAACTCTCGAGTTCCATGTGTACTCATTGAGATATAATGACATAGTCACTACTTATGAGGCTCATTAAAAACTGACAAGCTGTTTCCTTCTGGGTAGAACTAAAAGCTTTGCCCTTCCATAGTTAACTACACTTTCTTCAAGCAAGGTCCTTCTTTAATAAAATATAAAGAACACATTTCTATTCTTTGTCTCTTCTACACTCGAGGAACAGGGCCATATTTTGTTCCTTGACTTCCTAGAAGAGGAAGGGAGTGGACCTATACACTGAATAGACTAATACATAGGGCTGACTAGGCTGGTACTGGACCTGTAGTTTCACTTGCTATAGGGAAATCCCAGATGCATAAACTTCGTTTAGCAATTCGGGTTAGCATCTTCTTTGCAACTTATAGTGTTATAAACCTGCTAGGACACTGAGAAGTTAAGTGACTTGCTCAGAATCACACAGTCTATGTCAGAGGACTTGAGTCTAGGTTTTTCTGGTCCTGAGACTGGCTCTCTATCCATTATACCACACTGCTTTTGACTCACTAGAAGGAGTCTGAAACAGAAACTGTGCACAAATACCTTGAACTGCAGGACATATCCAGGTTTCAGAGATAAATCTCGAGTTACTGCAAATCGATCTCCATCTGATTTCCCAAATATCATGGCTGATGGGGTAGCAGAACAGAAAGTTTCGTTTTTAACCATTCCTTCATTAGCCAACATCAGCCATACACTCATCTGATTCATGGGGTAATCAAAAGCTGGTTTTTCATAAAAGTTCTAGTAGAAACAAACAAACAAAAATACTGTAACACAGCAGCACTCTAACTTTAGAAAATGATCTTATGTTAATTGGTGGTCAATGCCATGACAAATATACATTTCTAGACTATAGTGATTATATCTTTCTACTGAATGCAATAATATTTTCCAAGCATTCACTTCATTTCACTTGAGGACTTTGCTTACCCTTCAGAAACTTCACACCTGAAGACAATTTTTGAGTTAGGTAGTGTTACCATCATACCAACATTTAGTGGAACCATAGAGAACTGTTTGTTCAGTGTTGGAAAAAAAAATCTTTAAGAGGTGAAGTCCTCAATCCATTATATATGAAACTTCTTTTAGTTCTGGAGTCCACCTACAATAAAGCACAATTACCTGAGGTAAAGTTGGGTTGACGACTGGGATGATCTGCTTCTGTTTTTCAGATAAAATGATGATGTCATCAATTGCCCACTGATCATAGTCTTCACCTGAGAAAACTGGCTGCCACCAGCGGAATCTAGTGCAAGGAGTCTTTGCAGCTGCTGGAAGCTCTAGATAGACAAACCTAAAGAAAAGCCAGTTATCCACGTGTAAGAAAAGTGAAGCAATATTTCTCTTAGTTATAAATAGCAAGGGGAAAATAATATTTAGTCTATTGTACAACTAAAAAAAAAGAGTTTTTGGTTTGGCCATGTTGGAATGAAATTTGAAGAATGTAGGGAAAGAAGATCATGCATTCAGAAGTTGATGGGACTGAGAATCCACTGAGGCTAAACAACTCATTTTATAGATGAGGAATCTAAGATACAGAGAAGTTAATAGACTTGCCAAGAGTCACATAGATAGTAATTGTTTGAGGCAAGATTTGAACCCAGTGCTTCCTGAATTCAAGTCCAGAACTGTATCCAGTTCTCTACACTTCCTCAATACTTCTTTTGGCATGATATCTTTTAGAGACGAAAAGTCATATCAAAAGAGAAGTTATAATTTAGGGAAAAGTGGTTGGGATTTTTTTGTGGTAAGGAACGGTACTTGCAAAATGATCTGTGATAGAAACAAGTTTATCTCACTTTAAGAAAAATATAGATTAAAACACACACACATATTCTTAATTTTACACAATGTTTTGACATGGGATCCCTTTAAATTGTAAACTCGTGTTTAAAATACTTAATGTAAACTTAATTTTTAGTAATTCATCGTTGTGTGATATAAGGTACACATGTATAAAGCTAGCACATGGGTAGCACCAACATGTCATTCACTTAACCATGATTTCTGTTCTACATATGAGTAAATTTTGTCATGACTGCATTAAGTCCACAGTACAGAGATGAGAGAAATAAAGGTAATTTAAACAGACACAAATGAGTAGATTTTTGTGATATTTAGTATGTACGCTGTTAGATATTTTACATAATTACACGTCCCCAAAAGAAGTATGTTTAAGCAGATTTAAAATAAAGTCACTTAATTTTAAAAATGTTATTGAAAATTTGCTATTTTTCTAAATAAATGTTTTTCTACAATAATGAGTCTTATAATCATTAGCTATAACCTTTGATCAATAGATGGTCATAATGGATAACAATGAGGCCATTCTGGTCCAATGCAAAAATGGCAAGTTGGTTGAGGATATTCCTAAAATCATGACATACATACATGGCAACCTACACTGCTCATGTATAGGATCAGCCCTAGATGAAGATAAAATTCTAGATCAAGATAGCTGATTTTAAACAGCTGAGCAAATTATATATCAGAGAAGCAACGAAAATTTAAAAAGTCTATCCATTTTTCTGAATGGTCTGGATAGAATGCTTGTCTATAGTCTGGCAGTTCCTTTTTAAACCGTATCTTTGAAAAGCCTTTCACATATTTCAGGTAAGACACTTCAATTAAGAGAAGATTTTTTAAAAAATGCAACCTTTGTACTAATGTGACTTTCTGTGTCTAGCAAAAGTCTGATAGGGAGATATTAATACCTGGGCTTGCTGAAGTCAGAGAAGTACATTTCTGCCAAGAGATGCCAATGAATTCCCCCATTGTTGCTGTACTGAAGCAGGACCCCCTCTTCTCTACTGTCTGGTTTGTTGCAGGCAGTGCTCTCTCCACCTATTTGAATGTAAAACTGGACAAAATCCACCCAAGAAGTATCCATATCCCAGCTCACCAGTTGTCTCTTTCCAGCCTATCAAAAAAGGAAAGATTAAAAAAAACTTACATATAATAATACAGACTTCTGTGGTGTTTTTCTTTTTGGCTTTACCTCCCTTAAGTTTTTTTTTCATATTTATTTTATTTTTAATTTATGGAATAAAATAAACATTTCCATAACATAATAAAAAAAGACAAATGCACATGATACTGTAAATCTGTTATGTACAACTTGCTATTCCTTTTAAATATATAATAAGGTTATCATATAAATTTTTGTTCTTTTTTTCACTTTTTTCCTTCCCTCCCCCCCCGCCCTAGATATGGCTACCATTAGACACAAATAGGTGTGTGTGTGTGTGTATGTAAAGTTATTCTATATGTACTTCTATTCATCAGTTATTTCTCCAGATGCCGATAGCCTCTTTCTTCGTATGTCCTTTACAGTTAGTTGTATATTTCTACTAATCAGATGACTTATTCACTCAAAATCGTTCTTAAAACAATATTGCTGTTACTATATACAATGTTCTCTTGGTTCTGTTCATTTTGCTCTTCATTATTTCATGCAATTCTTTCTATGTTTTTTCAAGATCACTGAACTCATCATATCTTATAGCACAGTAGTATTCCATCACAGTCATACACTACAACTCATTTGGCCATTTCTCAGTTGATGTGCATTCCTGCAATTTCCAGTTTTTTGACATCACAAAGAGAGCTGCTATAGCACTCCATGTAGTGGCATATAGAAAATGGTGCTACATGGTTGCCGTGGGAACATAAGATTCTTTTTCCTTGTGGCTCAAAGGGAAACAGCCTTCGGTTTGGTCAGTTTTGATTTGGTGATGGTAACTTCAACCTTGTATACTCATTCTTTTGTTTTTCTTCTTTGATCTATTTTATTAGTCTCCAGACCAGTGATCTAGTAGATAAAGTACTGCACTTGGAGTCGGCAAAACCTGGGTTCAAATTCCACTCCTAAGGCTTATTAGCTATGTGATCATGGGAAAACCAGTTAATCTCTGTGACATTCAGTTTCCTCAACCCCGAAACAGGGATAATAAAACCTGAAAGACGTATCTCCTTGGGTTGTTGTGATATAACCTACATAAAGCGCTTTGCATATAATGTGATACAGAAACTTTATTATCACTAATAATATAGAAAGGTATTATGAAAATCTAAAAATTTTGTAGGGCAAAATTAAACTAACTGGACTTCCAGACAAACACAAATTTCTTTTGGGACTGGGTTACTGCACATGATTGTGAGGTGCTACATCAGATATGCTCTGATAAGGTGAACAAGTCCTATATCACAACTGATACCTTCCTTCCTGGGCAGAAAATCATTCACAGATTTCCTTTCCTTTTTCATAGACTGCCTGGGGCTAGAAGTAAAGCCAGGCACAGCTGAAACTAATTGATAAAAAGGGACAGCATCTTAGTCATTTTCACTGTGGGTGGGGAGAAAGAGAGAGATAATAAAATTTTCCTGGATACCAAAAAGCATCTTAGGGCCTGAAAGAGTTAACAGTATCTTCAAAGCCAGCAATTTCCTTTCCTTCTACCAGGAGGCTCAGCGTGTCTATCTCATGTCATGGTCATGCCGTGAAGCGTTGGACAGAAACTGAAATGGTTTGTCATCATTCCTGTTGTTAATAAATGATTTCAAGGTAATGGGATTATGAAAGAATGTCTTGCTTATAAAATCCAATAGCCCAAAGCAGATTCTGCTGGGGGCAGAGCTACTAAAAGGCCCTCAAATTTGTCATAGAGCTCTCTAACCCCTGAGAATCTCAATAAAAATACTGTATAGGAAATAAAGATACTCTATATGGCACAAAGGAAAAAAAATCTATAACATAGAATTCAAAACTAATTCTACTTTTTAAGTTAATGAAGAAAGTCTCTAGTTATAGAAAATCACAAAGAAAATACTTGTTGGCCAATTAAAAGTGTACAACCTTGCAAAGAGGGCTAAAAGGGATTAAAAAAAGATTGGAAGCACAAACACAGCAGTAAATAAAACAGCTAAAGCGAAGCCTTGAGGCATTTAGGTGGCTTAGAGGATAGAGCTCCCACCTTGGAGTCAGGAGGACCTGAGTTCAAATGTGACCTCGGATACTTGACACTAGCGGTGTGACCCTGGTCAAGTCACTTAACCTCATTACCTAGCCAAAAACAAAAACAAACCCCAAAATAAAGTGAAGCCTTAGTTTAGAGATTGTCATTTGGAATTCTCAGTACTAAGGAAGCAAATGATAGAATGATATGTGTGTATGTGTGTATGTATGTATACATGTACACATATATACACATACATATGTAGTAGATGATATGACATATAGATACATATATATATACATATATACACACACACATATGCATATATATCTTAACAGAATCAAAAGAAGCAATGAAACTTTAAAACGTCTATCTGTTTTTCTGAGAAGTCTGGCAACTCCTTGTGTGTGTGTGTGTGTATGCACATATATATGGATAGCTATATATATATATGTATATGTATATCTATCTCTACATATGTTGTTGTTGAGTTGTTTTTCAGTCATGTCTGACTTTTTGTGACCACATTTTGGGTTTTCTTGGCAGAGATACTGGAGTAGTTTACCGTTTCCTTCTCCATCTCATTTGACAGATGAGGAAACTGAGACAAACAGGTTTAAGTGATTTGATCATGATCACACAGCTAGTGTCTGAAACCAGATTTGAACTTAGGAAGATGAGTTTTCCTGATTCCAAGCCTGGCAGTCTATCCACTGTATCACCTGGTGCTCTTTCTTTCTCTCTCCCACTCTACACACACACACACACACCCACACACACACACCACCCCTCTTCCTACTTGTGCTTTTTATTTTTCTTTCATTGGATCAGAAATAACTCAAATGAAAAGCACCTTACAGATTACTGTAATATAGCTCAGCCAAAAAATATTTTCTAACTTCTGAATCACTACAGGAAGACCATTTATGAGGGAAAAAACACCACCAAAACTATAGAACTTAGCAGGTTAATTCCAATTTAGCAAACTACTTTGAAAAACTTGGCATGGGGAAATGAGCCAGAAGGAAGAAGATCTAACAGTGAAGACAATTATAAAAAAAATCCAATTATCACAATTAGCTAGTTGTAATGATTGGTTTATCAGGAAATTCACAGTCAAGTGCTATTTTTTCCCCCAGGACACTTTGGTGTTAGTCCACAGAGGTTTTCTAAAAGTGTTGTGTAGGATTTTTGTATGTGATGAAAAATATATCAGATCTTTGCTTAGCTTGGCATTTTGCCCTCCAAAATCTACATGTCTCCCCTCTGCCTTTTCTTTAGCTATGCAAAATGCTACATTCTTTTTAAAGAGGAAAAGAAAAAGGAAACAGCTAAAGCAAGAATTTGCTTTTCCAATATAAACATTTCCAATTTGGTTTAATGTACAGTTATAATGTTAAAAAAATTTGTAGAAATCAATGGAATTTAAGGCAAAAAATTTTAATAATTCAGGCCCTCAAAAATATTCTTCCCCTATTCTTTTCAAAATGGCACTTTGGTCCAAGTGCTTAAATCGAGTAAAGTAGAAATAGAACTAATGCCAAAGAATTATGAAGAGCAGATATTTATAGACAGCATTTCCAAACCTACACTAATCCTACCTCTTGTTACATTGTAAATTTCAATGAACATTATTTCTAATCTATGTTTCTAGTTTTATATTCAGTACAATGTAGTTAAAATTCATTCTAGTCTACTAATTCATTAACATCAAGTTTTTCTTTAAACTCTCCTATAGCTTCCTAACTTTCTTTATGTCAATCTATGGATACTTTCCCAAAAGTGGCTTTGTTTTATTTAAATTTGGTAAAGTCTCTTTACTTTTGTTTTTCTCCTCTTCATTCTAATTCAAAACTGTTTACTTATCGAATTGAGCAGAACAGGACAACAGAGTAAAAGCAATATCATAAAATGATCAACTGTGAATGACTTAGCTCTTCTCAGCAATCCTATGACTGAATACAATTCCAAAGGACTCATATGAAAAATGCTATCCACCTCCAGAGAAAGAACTGATACAGTCTGAATGCAGATCAAAGTATACTATTTTTCATTCATTCATTCATTCATTCATTCATTCATTCATTCATTCATTCATTCATTCACTTATTTATTTTCCTTTGGGTCTGTGTCTTCTTTTACAACATGACTAATACAGAGATATGTTTTGTATGATTGCACATATAGAACCTATATCAAATTATGTTTAAGTATATGAAAGTGTACTGTTGGATTTATGTTGTCTTCTTAAAATTTTAACTTCTACAGGACAAAGTCCACTCATCTTGGCATGAATGTGCACAGAATCTAGTGCTGGGCAATGTACACAAGGAGGACACTTATTAATTACATTTGATGATAATGATCAGGGAAGACTTGAGTGTTGATGGATGTAAGACCTATTTAAATTTAATCCACCCTGATTTGCTGTTTTCTCAATCTTGTTTACTTGCTAAAAGATCAGATTTTCTTTGTTCTGCACCTGCATCTGAACAAAAAGCATATCTATTTTTGCATTTGCATAAATTATTTTGCCTTGGATTCCTGCCTAGACAGACTCTGCCACATATCAGCACTATGGCATTACAACACATCTATTTAAGTCCTTGATAACTTTTAACAGTATTTGTCCCTACCTTACTGAAATATAGAGATGATCCAGAAGAGATGACCCCACATCCTTGTTCTGGTTTGACAATTTCTCCCCCGATGACTTCTTGCCAGTCAGTCTCCCAACCATTCTGGCTCTCAAAATCTGACATAATAGTAGATGGAAGGGAAGCTTCTGGCTGGCACTCACTGCCTTGATACCCTTGGTCACACCTAAAGAGAAGATTAGTAAGATAGACCAGAATGACTTTCTTAATTATAGCTTTTTCCTTTTGTCATTTCTCATTAAGTTTCAAATATACTTCAGCTGGCCAAGAAACATCTCAATAAAGAATGGTGAGTTGAATATTACGCAGACTGTTGTTTTCCTCATTATATTGAATAGTCATACCTCTTTTTATTGTGCTTTGCTTCATTGTGATTTGTAGATATTGCATTTTTTAAAACAAGTTGAAGATTTGTGGTAACCCTACGTTGAGCAAGTTTATTGGTGCCATTTTTCCAACGGCATGTGATCATGTCTCTGTGTCACATTTTGGTAATTTCCATAATACTTCAAGCCTTTTCATTATTATTATATTGGTTATGGTGATGAGTGATCTTTGATGTTATTATTGTAATTGTTTTGGGGGACCACAAACCACCCCTATATAAGATAGCAAACTTAATTGATAAATGTGTGTGTTTTGACTGTTCCCTCAATTGGCCATTCCCCTACCTTTCTCCCTCTTCTTGGGCATCCCTATTCCCTGAGACACAACAATATTGAAATTAGGCAAATTAATAACCCTACAATGGCTTCTAAGTGTTCAAGTGAAAGGAAGAGTCAAATCACGCAGAAAACTTCATTGTTGTCTTATCTTAAGAAATTGCCACAGCCACCTCACCTTCAGCAACTACTATTCTGATCAATCAGAAGCCATCATCATCAAGGCAAAAAGATTACGACTTGCTGAAGGCTCAGGTGATGGTTAATATTTTTATTTTTATCAATAAATTATTTTTTTAACTAAGGTATGTATATTGGGTTTTTTTAGACATAATACTATTGGCCACTTAATAGTCTGTAGTATAATGTAAACATAATTTTTATATGCACTGGGAAACCAAAAAAATTTGTGTGACTCACTTCATTGTGATATTTGCTTTATTGTAGTGGTCTGGAACTAAACCGCAGTATCTCTGAGGTATGCCTGTGTGCTCTGACATTAGCCAGGAATGACCTGGCGACCACTTGCTCAACTTTTTCACAACATGAATATGAAATTTAAAAAAAACTCTACAAAAGATATACCAAGTCATAGATACTGTAAGTTGTTTCTCTCACAAAATCACCGATTCTTCCATTGTGTAGCTTTTTCCAGTGTAAAACTCAGTGTAATTTGATTCAGTTCCCTAGATTACAGTATGTGAGTTTCTAGGAAATGATGCAAATGTAATATAAAAAGGTAAACGTAAAAAGCAATCAGTCTCATAATACTTGCTTCTACCTAGTCTCTTGCCATCTCTGCAATCTTCTCCTCTTTTCAGGTACAGATTTTTGTCTCTAAACAATATTTGTTACGTATTTTTTTAATCTTTCTCTGAAACTTTTAGAAATGGGCACCCCTCCTACCCAAGTTACTATGAAGCACAAAATTATAAAGTTGAGTTTGTCTTCAGTTTCCAGGCTTCCTGTTCTTTTCTCCGTATCCCATTTCTTCTATCTACTCTTTATTTTGAGGCAGTCATGGTTAAGTGACTTGCCCAAGGTCACACAGCTAGTAACTAACTGAATTCAGATTTGAACTCAGGACCTCCTGACTCCAGGGCTGGTGTTCTACTCACTATGCCACCTAGCTGCTCCTCTACCCTCACTTTATAAATCTCTTCAGGTCCCCAGTGACTTTATGGCCCCTACTTTCTTCCCATTATTAAAGCTTACTTTTAGGAAAGGAGCCAATCAACTCATTCACACTAAGGCATAATAATCGCTGGGGTTTTCTTGGCAAAGACCTGGAGTGATCATCTTGGAGTATTTACATTTTGACAGGGATCAATGTTTTAGCCAAAGGAATGAAACCCTAATGGACTTTCAAGCAACAGGTAATGAATGGGTAAGTACTTTGGGGTACACTTATCAGTTCATCTCATTTCAGCAGATTTTGTTATTGTAACACTAGAAATCTGGGCATGCTTAACCGGACCAGAGTGTGGTTTGAGAAAGAAATAGTATGATGACATCCTCTCTAGTTCTAATATGTGTATTGCTTCTTCCATACTGAACAGTGACAGTTGTCACTTCCTTCACTATCAATCAATGGATCCATCCACAACCACTTGTTAAGCACCTACTACGTGCCAGACTGGGGACACAAAGATAAAAAACAAATTAGTCCCTGCCCTCAAGTAGCTTTTATTGTATTGGAGGAGAAAGCCTATATGTAAATAAGCATATTTGAAATAAATACAAGGTAATTTTGGGGGGAAGCCACTGTAACTGCAGGGATCAGAGAAGGCATCTTGTAGAAGGGTGTGCTTGAGCTAAGCTTTGAAGGAGACTAGAAATTCTAAGATGACTTGGGGAACCTGTGGTCTTCAGGCCACATGTGGTCTTCTAGGTCCCTGGGTGGGGCCTTTTGAATAAGCCCAAGTTTTACAAAACAGGTCCTTTTATTAAGAGGATTTGTTCTGTGAAGTTTGGATGCAAAGGGCCACACTTGAGGACCTAGAGGGCCGCATGTAACCTTGAGGCCACAAGTTCCCCACCCCTGGTCTAAGAATTGGAGGTCATGAGGGAGTATATTATAAAACAGGGCTTTTTGAAGTATGGCAGAGTTGAAAGGTCACACCTGCCTAGATGGTGCTTTAAGACTTCCATAGATGAAGGGAAAGGAAGCCTCTTCAAACCTCTTCTACACACTCCCTGAACTAATTTTCAGGATGGACTTTTCTGGAGGTTTGCTTTTGAGAAGGAAAATCTAAATTCCCTGATAGATGACCCAGGTGAGTAATACTGTGTTCCATGTACCTGAACCAAGGGTAAGAAAGGGCATTTCCTTTTGGTTAGTCCATATATAACAATGCATTAACATGATGATCTTGACCAATGCTGGGATAATGTTCAGAAAGAGAATTCTCAAGCCCAGAGACTTCCTCCACTTTTTTTTTTTAAAAAAGTACCTACTTGCACAGTCCCCGCTCACACCAGCCATGCCCACTGCACATGTTTGGGCACTGCTGTCCTATATAAATGTTGTCTAAAGCCCATTCATCTTGTACTGTATAATAGCTCTGACTCCAACGGAAGCGAGTAGCACTGGACCTAGAAATGTATTAAAAAGAAAAATGAAATATTGTTCTTCGAACCTCCCTGTTGAGGGATGTTCAAGATACACATTTTCACATCATTTTCTTTTTAGATTGTATACTTTCTGGAATTTTTATTTGATTGTCAACCATTTTTCTACATGTTGAACTTAGTATTGCTGAAATGTTAAAATGGAAAATACAACTGTTATAAGTAATACATTGTCAAAGTAAAAAGGAGCTCTGTCTCTTTTTTGCATATTAAAATAATTAAATTTCAGAAAGATTAAGCAAATCAAAATATCAAACGAATACAATGTACATTAGCGTTCAGTGTTAGTGAAATAAACCTAAGAGCAAAGAGATTTTTCTAAAAAAAAAGTCCAAAACAACTTTATTGTTAATTGCTAAATTATGAACATTTTGTATCAAATTATAAGAAGACCACGTTCAGTTTGATTCTCAAAATGAAACAAAGGATAACAGTAGAATTATTGGGTGAGGAGAAGACTACCATGACATAATATTATACATAGAACATACGGCATTGTTACATGATCTAAATAAGATAAACAAGAATGTTCAGAAGCACAGATCTGTTAATTCTTACTGAAAAATTAACTTGCTTCTTTTTTTAAAGACAAGTTGATATTAAATGGAAGCAAATAATTAAGTGGTCCAGTAGACATTGAGAAATCCTAGGAAACTTGGTTGTGAATCAGACGTGAGGTCTGAAGAAGAAAAAGCAGACTGACATTTCTGCAGGAGAAGTTTAGTCACATAGCCAACTGATAACTGAAAAATATTTTTTTAGAACCACTTTAATTTACTGAATTCCATAAAGTATTTTTTTAAACCTCTGGGAGTTTGAATTTTTTTCCCCGAGGGTTTCTTGGTAGGGAGAGCAGATAACTGCTATGTTGCAGTAATCATTTAGGAATGATTTTCAGAAATGAATGGGCATGCCCAGAGCCACAGACTGAATCCCATGTTCTAAATACAGCATCCATTGATAGGACAGAGCTTGAGGGCTCTACAAGAACCCTTAAAGTCTACTGCATCAATTATCTTCATGTTAAGTACTCCGTAAGTAAACAGCAGGCTGTTAAAGTTCAGAGTAGGCCTTCGTTATTTATCTTTTATCCATGATCTGTGGATAATGGGTTGCATGACCAGTTTTAGTAGGGTGATTCCTGAATTCACTGAGATGCATCTGGCAGAATGATGCCTTCTTGCACTTCAGTAATCCTCAGTGGTACTTCCAATGAGCTCACCTCCTTCCGAATAGCAATATCATTTAAATTAATTTATTTAAAATTAACAAAAATTTAAATTAATTAATCCTCATTTTCAAACAAGAAAGGGGCTGCAATTTTTATGACCACATTAAAAAACTTTCAGAAAAGTTAATAATTTTCCATAAGAAAAGGTTTTTTACTGGTTTAATATTTTTATCAGAAACTACTCAAGGGCATGAACTATGCCAAAATGTATGGGACCCGGGTTAGGGCTATTAAAAATTATTTGCCTAATAACTAAGATGAATTTAGTGATATCTTTAGCATATTTTATTTCATAAATACAATAAAGTTATTATTAATTCAATACTGTAGAAACTACTTAATCATACATAGTATTGAGGGTATATAATAAAGCATGCATTATAGATAAAAATGATTTAGATAAGTAAAAATTTATTCTACTTATTGGCTCTCCATTCTATGTAATTTTGAGAACTTGGATAACATTATTTTACAAATGACTTGCCCTGTGCTACAGAATATAAGCTTTTATTATAATTTATCAATTTTTTTTTTAAAAAATAAAGCATCATAGTATAATGGGAAAAAAAGAACCTCTAGATACGAAGTCAGAAGGAGGGTTCTATATCCAATTTTAGTACTAATGAGCTGCATAAGATGTCACCAAACTTCTCTGTAGGTCTCAGTTTTCACTTCTAGCAAATGAGGAGGATGGATCTCCATGCTCATTTACAAAGCTAACAGCCTATGATTTCTGGACTGAAATGGCCATTTGTAGGAGTCCTTTATTTTCTGTACAGTTACATAATGGTATAAGGCCCACTGCATGAATTGGTATTAGAGGTTTTAATTTGGATGCTTCAGCTATGGGGATAGATGATTCAGCACATCTTCTAAATCTTCCATAAGATAGTTTACCCAAAGGGTTGTCAAGCTAAACAAAGAAAGATCCCAGAAACAGGACTTCTCTACCTGTGAATCTGAGAAGATACTTTACTGACGTCTATCATCACTGATATTTCAGCTGTCTTACATCCTCAGAACATCTTAATGTACAGCTAGGAATAGGAAATACTCAGAATTCCTCAAACTAAGGGAATACAAGTTGAGGAGTAACACAAGAGAAACACTGGGAAAAAGAAATCCTTAAACAGTAGAATTAGTAAGAGCTGGCATTTCAATAGTACTTTAGTCAAAAAATATACAAAAGTTTCACAGATCTAATTTGAGCCTCATAACAACCCTGTATGAGAGGAAGTATGGCATCCCAGTGTCTGGAGACCTCAGCCTGAATCAGGAAAATCTAGGTTCAAGTCCTGCCTCTGACACATGACTGGCCATTTCACCAGATACTTAATTTCTCAGCATCTCAGTCAGTAAGCATTTATTAGGTGCTTAGTGTGCTGCGCCCTGGGAATACAAAGAAAAGCAAAAACGCTCTTTGCCTTCAGAGAGTTCACATTATAATAGGGGAGACAACACATAAATAGCCAGATTTTTTTTTTTGGTCCATTAGTCGTATCTGACTCTTTGTGACTCAATTTGGGGTTTTCTTGGTAGAGATACTAGAGTGTTTTACCATTTCCTTCTCCACTAATTTTACAGATAAGGAAACTGAGAAAAACAAGGTTAAGTGACTTACCTAGGGTCATATAAGTAGTAAGTGTCTGAAGCTGGATTTGAATTTAGGTCCTCCTGACTCTAGTACTGGCTGGCTCTCTATCCATGAGGCCACCTAGCTGCCCCAATAACACACTCATTCTTTCCCTCTCCTCCCCTTTCCTTCTCTCTCTTCCCATCCTTTCCCCTCTTTCTAAAAATTGCTTTATATTTTTCTGTACAAATGTTGTAACCCCTCAGTAGAATGTAACCTCCTAGACTAGTGTTAGGGCTTTTTCTTTTCTTTGCTCTTTTTTTTTTCTTTTGGCTCTTCCATGCTTAGCACAGTCCATTGTATATGTTAGGTATTTAATAAATGCTTATTGAGTGAATAAATTGCAAAATAATATGTATGTCAGTGTATTAGTGGAAGTACTTGGAGAATTTCATGATAACACAACTTTACCTCAACATATGAACTCTAAGGTTACTGTTGCTACACTGAATTTCTTTGTCTAAATATTTATACATAGGCACATTCTAAATTATTTTTTTCTTCCTTTTCTAGTTGATTCATGACTGTTGTAAGTACTCTAAAGCTATAATACTTCCCTGGGATAAAAGGAGCTTAAAGTGGATTATTCTATTAAAGACTGTCATACATACTTGAATGTGACCATGTTAATTACGAGAAAGGAAAGGGAAAAAAGGTTGGATGTTGGCCACATTTTCAGTGATTAAAAAAACACCTGGTCTTCTTGAGCAATCTCCATTTGGCCACATGTGAGACTACAAAGTGTGATCTCACTGATTTTCAGTTGTGGCACAGCTAAATAGCTTTCAAAAAATAAAGGTTTAAACTTTCCTCTCCTCTGCCCCTTGACCATTTTTATTTTGAAATACCAAGGATTGTACTTGGGAGGATAATGACGTGTTTATTTCATGTCTATACTGGATTGAATGAGAAAGTTAAACAATTACTGTGGGATATGAAGATGCCTTATGGTTTCCAGCCAGGTGCTATGGATTCCCAAGGGCAGATTTGGCACCAGAAATCAAACTCAATACTCTTCTTTATTTGACTTTCATCCTATAGACTTCAGTATCAGAAATAAAATAATGTCAAGTCCTGTCTTGATAGACAGGGAATCTGAGGAATCAAGGTAAATGCAAGCTGACAAAATTGTACTTGCCACCTTCAGACTCAGTGTAATTACATTTACCCAATTACTGCAAAACTCTTATTCAGTCATTAAGTGTTGATTTGTTTATGAAGTCAGCGACTGACAGCTGTTTGGATCTCATTAAGTCCTATTCTTATGTAAATGTCCCTCATAAAACTGAAATTAATTTTCATCGGATAACAAATGTTCAGTTCTTATACAATACAATTTCTCTGAGCAGGTGCATACATTCACGGTTTTCTCCACAAGTTGGTCCCATCTAACACATTTTCCTGCTAACAGATCTTCCTATACCCAACGACTCTGGAAAACCTCATTTACCTGACCGCTCTATGTTTATGGTTTGAATATGTTTGAATAACAACACCAGGACGTTGGGGAAGAGGAAGGATTTGTCAAAGAGGAGTCTAACTTCAAGCTGCATGGTACTAGTTTTCCTATCCCTTTTGAATCTTTAGGAAAACACACTCCTTCCAAAGTTGTAAGACAAACAAAAAGGACCAACTTAACTGCATTGAGGAAAATGAACGTACACCATCCCTACATTACAGTTTTTTAAATGATACAACTGTAAGCACCATAAAAACAGCAATTAGAACACCTGGCTTTTCTGAAGCAACAACAATATTCAATTTACATATTGATTAGTTGGAATGATAAAGTAAATACTTTACGAAGTTGTCTGAATTGTCCTACTCATATTATTACTTCTGGGAAAATCTAAATTAAATAATTTCAGACCTACTCTTAAGGGTTCTTATCCTAATTGGGTAAAATTAGGGTACCTTTTAGAAAGCATCTTCAAAGTCAGTGAACAAATTGACCATCTCTTAGCCTGAAGGGGTTGATGCATATGTAGCACTCCTATCACTCTGCAGAGCCCCTCTCTAGCTTTGTAGCAGATTGAGATAGTTTGGTTGGGGATGTAGCTAGGAAGTGAGGACAGAAATAAAGCTATTGTGGGAAAGGGTGCTGGATTCAAAGTCTGAGAGGGATTCCAGGACAGGCAATGGTGACAGCAGGTTTTCCTTCTCATTGGGCCAGCCCTTGAGTCCATCTACCCCGGCTCTGTGAAGGACTAACAGTGGTCAGAAGAAGTTAGAATAAATAAGACAGCCAAGACCAAGAAAATGACCTGCATCGGGAAGTTTAGTTTTCTCAAAAGGTCCTTCCATGTACTCTGAATCCCAGGCTAAGAGTTCCTCCAGAGTTTCTGTGGCTTTATGTAAACCCCTGTCCCTTCTGGAAGTGTGAGTTGAGATCAAGTAGGCAATCCTTTACTCACTCATTGGGGGAGGAAAAAACACGGGGAACTAAACAAAGTCAAATTTTATTTCCTATAATTCCTGGGATGAAGCAAACTTCTATGCTATACAAGGAGCTCTGGGGATTTAGGAGAGCAACAGGCTACTAGCTGCTGGGTAAATGTTTTTATTTGTTTAGGCATTGGGTGCTGATTGTCATGCATTGTTTATTTGTTTATTCATTTTGTGCTAAGAGTAAAACTACTGTGTTCCAAGCACATCTGTCTTCTGAGCAGAGTCAACTCCATTTTGCCAAAGTTATTTGATTAGGACTCACTAGAAAAAAAACAAGTTAAAAAGATGAGGAATAACTGCTAAGGGAGGGCTTAAGAATTTGATTGTTATTGGGTAAATTCATAAATTCACGTGTTCCTTGACAAGGAGCCATTGCTTCCTCATAGAGGGAGGTAAGGCACTCAGCTTCCCATCCTGTGTAGCATGGCTTGTACAAATCTCCAAGGTGAGTGTAGTACTTCCTAGGACCCAGATACCTTTTGTTGAACATGAATAGGTGGGTGCTTGACAATGTCATGTGGTAATTAAACATACCCTAAAACAGTAGCATCAAACTCAAATGGAAATGGATTCTTGGGACAGCATACTGATTAAGAAAACTACAAGTTAAAGTTATCTATGTCATTGTAATTTTACTTATTTTGTTAACCCTTTCCCACTTACATTTTAATCTGGTTCAGGTCATGCTCTGGAATGCCAGGGGCTCAATGAGTGGCCCATCTGCTTTCTTCCCTGCCCCTCTCCCTCCCCCCAATCTGGGTTTATCACCTCTGTACTCAGGGGCCTAATGAATATAGGTTTTGATCTTGTTGACATCCACTGACTAGAAGGTCACTCTCCAAACTTTCTCACAGACTCACTGTTGAAATTGGTTTTGCTTACTATCTCTTGCCATCTCCACTGGTGACAAGATTCATGTTGAGAACTGTTTTAACAATTTGACCACACAATTCCTCAATCTCCTTTAATTTCAGTGACTGAAACACTACATTTTAGCCATGCATCAGTACCGTCAGATCATTGACCTCACCATCTCTCAGGATTGTCCCATTAACATGAAACTAAAATTCTTCTTTCTAATTTGCTCTAAAATTCTACTGTCTCCAAACATAACCTACTTTCCATCCCCATGTCGTTTACTCACACTAAACTTTGCTGCTCAGTCATTTCAGTCACGACAACTCTTTGTGACCCATTTGGGGTTTTCTTGGCAAAGTTACTGGAGTAGTTTACCATTTCCTTCTCCAGCTCATTTTACAGATGAGGAAACTAAGACCAACAGGGTTAAGTAACTTGCCTAGGGGTCACCCATTTGAATTTAGGAAGATGTCTTCCTGACTACAGGCCAGGCACTCTATCCACTGCGCCACCTATCTATCCCAATACTAAACCTACTCTTGGCCTTTATCATAGATTATAACCTCCTGACTTATTGCTGTTTTCCAAGTCTATCTTTCCTATTCTGGCTTTTCTTGCCTCCACACCCAGCTTTTAATCCATGATCTGCCGGTTTAATCTTTCACTAATTACTGACTTAGAATTCTTGGCTTTTTGGCTGTCAGTCCAGAGCTGGGAACCTCTATCTTTGGATAATCTTTAATAACACTCTTGACCTTGACCCCAATTCCCTGTTGCCTGCTCTAGGATCTTGTTGTAACAGTGATACTGGCTTATTTGCTTAAAGACATGCTTAGTTTACTCTATTCCTTCCTTCCCTTTAACCTGTCTATTCCATACAGGAACTGTCACAAATTTTTTGTTTGTTTCACTTCACTGCTAAACATTTTTGGGCAGGTTATTTAAACCTCTCTGGGCCTCAGTTCCCCCATATGTAAAACAAAAGGATGAATTCTATGACCTCTAAGATCCCTTGCAGATTTAAATCTCCCTTCCTATGATTTTTGAAAATACTAGATCAATAAGATGATCTTTTAAAAATCTCAAGTATAGTGAAAACATAATTCAAATAATGCAGAATCAGGAAGACTCATCTTTCTGAGTTCAAATACGGCCTCAGACACTTACTAGGTATGTGACCCTGGGCAAGTCACTTAATCCTGTTTGCCTCAGTTTCCTCATCTGTAAAATGAACTAGAAAAGGAAATGTCAAACCACTCCAATATCTTTGCAAAGAAAACCATAAATGAGGTCACAAAGAGTCAGATACAATTGCAAAATTACTGAACAACAAATACTTTTTAATCTTTTCATCTTTTGTTTATTGTTTGTTTTTTACAATTTGAAATATTTCCTGTAATAATTAAAAACTTGATTATAAATAATCATTAGCTTTTCACTCAATAGTCTTTCAATTAAATATATCACATTTTAAAAGATTGTACTTGAATTTTTTTTAAAAGGTCTAATTATAAACTGAGCAACAGAGATACCAAAATGGAGAGGGTTAGGCAACATGGAGAAACATTAGTGAAAAACATGGGAAAAAAGCTAGAAAGAAGAATAAAGGCATGGAAAATTATTGGAAAACAAATATTGGAGTTTTAAATTTTAACTAACATAAAACTTCATCCTTAAAGACAAATAGTTATTCTATTATAATTAAATAATTTGATCTTTGGAAAAACGAAAGCTAGAAATAAACCTAGAAATAACATCCAATTTTTTTTTACCATAAAATCAAATCTTTATACCAAATGATGTAAAAATTCCAAACAGGAATTTGTTTAGTTTTTCTAATTTTCTTTTCAGAATATGGTACTGAAAGTGTAGCAATTCAAGAGTGATATGGTTTTAAGCTCTACATTTTTTTTCTGGCCATGAAGTTCCTTTCTGGAGAAAAATATACAATATTAGAGTTTCAAGGGAATTTAGCAGTTATTTAGTCAATCTCTTCACTTTATAGGTGAGTTAATAAAGTTCATAGAGTTTTAAAGATCTGCTCAAGATCACAAAGATAATTCAAAGCTGATGAGGGACCACCAAGGTCTGGGGGTTCCCAGTCCAATGCTATTTCCACAGGATTGTGAAATTGGTGAGATCATTTTAGGAAAAGAGGACAAAAGACATTTAGTTTATGAAACAATTTTTAGAAGAAATTAAAAGTTTATATTTTCCTGCTAATACCAAACTTTCAATGATACTCTTAAAATAGACAAGAACCCTCATTTCTATAAGTGAAAACAAAAAAAAACCCCTCTTCATTGTACTTAACTAATGCTTTATAATCTAAGCATGTCGATAGAAATAGTCATGTGGCAGATGTAGGGTACACCAAGGTAAAGATAAAAATATTTTAAAATGACATCTCTTACCAAGTTTTCTGAGGAAGAAGTACAGTGATCCTTCTCCACTGTGTAAATTCACTGGAATGGTAAATGCTTGCAGATGTAAATTCTTGACAGCTAGGCATTCCTGGAAGGCATTCCTAAATAAAAACCAATGAAAGATCAAGATTTTCTTTTCCTATTGCAACCTTTTTTTTTCTCCACATGTCAAGTTTTCCTCATTCTAGAAATGAAAAAGATCTTAGAGAGTTCTACAATGTATATTAAACCAATCTGAGATTTGGATGTAAGACTTTTTTTTTTCCCTCTGTCAGACTAGAATATTTTGGAAAATGCATAAGTAGATGCTTAAATGCAATTAAATGAGCTAAATTCACACACACATACATGTACACATAGAACATTTTAAGGGATTTAGGCTAACTTTATTGATCTGTTATCCTAACTTTTGGCCTATAGTAACAATATATAATTCTTAAAGTCTTTCTCCCTAACTCAATTCTTCCCAATTATCCTTGGAAACTTTAGTGCTCAGATTGGCAACACTTCTAATACCCTAACTTGTTGGTTCATCAAACTTCTGCTAACACATATCCATTCTACCTCAGCCACTTACAATGTTCATTGTATTGTGTATCTTGATATTTCTCGCTATTCTTTCCTTCCATCACTCCTATGACTCAGCCCTTCTTATCCTGCTTTTTGCCCTCAATGTGCCTTTTGCAATATAAATCTAAGACTCATCTTAGTTTATGCTCTCTGTCCTGACTTTAATTACTTCTATTCTGTCTTGGCACTCCTGTAGTTGATGCATTTCAGCATGGCAAGAGTATAGAAGACATTCCATCACTGAACCATTGCTCCCTTTTGACATTCCCCTCTTTGTTGTTCAGTCATTTCACTTGAGTCCAGCTCCTTATGACTTGGTTTTCTTGGCAAAGATACTAGAGAGTTTGCCATTTCTCTCTCCAACTCATTTTACAGATTAAGAAACTGAGGCAAACAGGGGTAAGTAATTTGCCCAGGGTCATATAGCTAAGTGTCTGAGGCTATATCGTAACTCATGAAGATGAGTCTTCTTAACTCCAGGCCCCACACTCTTATTGACTGTATCACCTAGCTGCTAAGCTCTTCCCTTCTTCCTGCCCTTCTACTGATCAATACTGGATAATTTTTCCATTTGCCTCCTCTACTCTTAAACTTGAATATTTTAAAATGACATTAGGAAAGCATAATCCAGTCAATTCATGCTTACTTCAATTGAGTCCTTACTATTGGTGACATTTCTTTTATTTATCTCTTATTGACTATCAAATTTCTCACAGATAACGGTCTAAATCTTCAACTCTCTGCTTGAACTCACAATTCTACTTTCATACCCACCAGAATATATTATCCACTTAAATGAAAAGATTAAAGCTATAAATATTCATCCTCCTGCTTCATCCTTCAAAGAATCACCCATCTATTATTCTTTCTCTACAGTTCAAGGTAGCCATCCTCTCGGCCAAGCCTAATGCTTCCATTAGTGAACTTAAGACTACCTGCTCCTATCACTCTTTGTTCAATCTCTCCCCTCTCATTGTCAATCTTTGCTTATCAATCTTTACAAACCTCCTTTGCCTGCAAGTAGGCCAAAGTCTTCCCTATTCTAAAAAACCTATTAACCCTGCTACTTGGTAGGAAACTATATCTCTCTTCCCTTCACTGTTAAACTTCTATTCTTACTGGCTCTACTTTCTCACTATCTACTTAATCTTTTAAAAAAAATTTACTTTTTGAACATAATAAACACCAAATATAAGGAAGATTTTCATATACTTTGGGAAACAGAAGGAGAGGATTATACATAAATCTCTATTATGTAAAGTTTGCTATTTTTTCAGATAAAGCATATAATAAATTCAACAAGGGACTTACAAAGCTGTCCTGACATCTGTGATTCTTTTTGACCTTCCTTCCATTCTCTTCTAATTTTTTTCCTTGTTGGGGGGAAACCCTCCCACCTCCCCATCATTGGAAAAAAAAAAAGAAAAACGAAGTCCTTGGAAACAAATATGTATAGCCAAACGAAACAAATGCTCATATGTCAACCTTTGTAACCCCATCACTTTACTGAAATTACTTCTTTCAAAGTCACTAATGATCCTGAATTGAAAAATTCAATGACCTTTTCTCAGTCCTTATCCCTCTTGAGGTTTCTATACTGCTGACTTTGGATCCTTCATGATACCTTCTCTTCCTTTGGTGTCTATTACTCTAGTCTCTCCTGGTTCTCTGATCAGTCTTCTCAGTTTCTTTAGTTGGTTCCTCTTTCTCCTTCTGTTCTCTAATATGGTTGTCCACCAGTGTTCTCTGCTCTTTATATGCTTCCCCCTCTATGGTGTTTTAGACCATCAGAACAATGCATTCATATGGCCTTTTCTATATTTTAAGAAAACATTTAAAATTGCTCCCCAACCTTCTTTTCTTCAAATTAAACAACATATATTCTTTAACATGGAGATATTATTTTTCATTCCTTTTATCAGCTTTGTAAGTCTCCTCTGGATTGCTTCCAGTTCCCTTTTAAAACATAGGGCACTACTAAATGGACACTATTCTAACCAATTCTGCACAAAATAGAAGTATTTTACCTCTTGTAATGGGTTATTATCCTATTTCTGCAGATGTAGAAATTAAAGACTGACAAGAGATTCTATTCAAAGAAGTCAGCTTTTTTCCTTCATCATGCTCAATACCTATAGTATCCTACTCCCATCTGATTACACATGATGCCAGCATCTATCTTCCTAGGAATACAAAATACCTAGAAATGAATCTTCCTCTAATAAACCATTTTAGTTCTCACTCACTTATTGACATCTAGTCTATACTAATATAAGATAGGGAGGAATGCTTTTATTTTTGCGTTTTTTGGAGAGGCAATCTGGGTTAAGTGACCTGCTCATGGTCACACAGATAGCAAGTATCAAGTGTCTGAGGCCAGATTTCAACTCAGGTCCTCCTGACTCCAAGGCTGGAGCTCTACCCACTGAACCACCTAGCTTCCTCTGGGAGGAATATTTTTTTTTTGGGGGGGAGGAAATCAGGGTTAAGTGACTTGCCTAGGGTCACTCAGCTAGTAAGTGTCATGTGTCTGAGGCTGGATTTGAATTCAGGTCCTCCTGAATCCAGGGCTGGTGCTCTATCCACTGTGCCACCTAGCTGTCCCTAGGATGAATACTTTTAAAAAGACTTGTGCATTATGCAGAATATATGATTCATCCACAAGCCTTGTATCTAGCTCTTTGATCAGAACAGCTGAACAAAGGACACTCAAGTAAACCAACCAATTTTGCCATTTCTTTTCAAACCTAAATTTTTTGTAAGCTTCAATTCCTGTGAAAATTTACCATCAGTAGTTTTTAAAGAAAGGACTCAATCATAAAGCCTTACCTCCTGTACCAGGTGCCATGTAAGACCATGATTGGTAGAATAATCTAGTTTCACCTGGTTGTCCATATGGGGAGTGTATTTTTGACCACATCCCATCACCAGACTGAACTGTATCATATATGAAGCTCCAATCTGCATAGACTGTGTTTCCACATAACGCATGCTTGAGGCAAGTTTAGAGTCCCCTGTAAAACTGAGAGACAAAGAATATGAATCAGAGACTCAATCTAGAAACACCTCAAAGGTAATATTACAATTGCTGCATTGATATGTATACCCCTAAGAGGTCGTCAACAAGTACCGAGACCGAACTGTGAACTATGGATTACACAAATATACTATTTATGATGTCAATGCTCTCAAGAAGTTTACAATTTACTAATGGATGAGATGAGACATATGAAACTGTACACAGCTATATGGTCAACTCAATTATCCCTATGGAAACTGTTCTTCAATAAATCTTTTAATAGTATGCAATCTTTCTAAGTTAATTATCAACTTGCTGTTTTCAACATGACCAAGTGGAAAAAAAGCTTTAAAAAATTCCTATCATTATTATGACCTCTTGGAAAGGTATGAGTTACAAATATAAGAAGCCACAGAAGGAAAGAGTTATTGTATAAATTGTCACTTTACATAGATTTAAGAAATAATATCATATATTACCAGCATAAAATAATAACCACTATAAGTTGAATGGGAGGTGGAAAGAAAAGCTAAACAAAGCTTTACAGCTCATCTTTCTCCAGGTCTCCTAAATATCTTCATAAGTTTGTTTGAAGTATCAGATTCTCAGAACAGCAGAAACACTCATGTGAGAGTAGTTTAAAAATACATTTCTGAAGTCAAATAGTCAACTTCTGATTAATCACACTGAATACCACCTTAATATAGGTATAATAAAAGTGTTTAAAAATCATTGTAATGTGCTTTTCTCAGACATACCTAACATTGTTAACAGATACCACAAAATAACTTTGGGTAAAACAATGTTGTAGGGCAGTGGTGTGAAATTCAAATAGAAATGGATCCCTGAAGGCCACATATAGATTTAGAAAACCACAAAGTAACATTATCTATATTGTATTGTTTTTTAAAATTTGCTTTGTTAAACATTTCTCAGTCACATCTTAATCAGGTTCAAGGCCTCACTCAGGCAAGCAGTGCTTGACACCTGTGATTTTTAGCAATAGTGGTATAGGTGAAAGATAAGTTCTTTGGAAGGCAACATCTAAATTATAAAAATTTAGAATTTTTCTTTATAAACATCTAATACCACAATGGAACTGAGCTGCTTGCCTACCTAATAGATGAGGTATAAAGAACTAGAACACCAAGTTATCCGAGAGATCCCTGACACTCTGGACTAGAAAACAATGAAATGGAGGTGGGCATGACTGACTCAAAAAGAAGAAGCAAAGAATCCAGTGACAGCCCCATTCACAAAGAGTCATTGAATTAATTGCTCTACTTAGCCACTTCTCAGTATAAAGAAAGAGAGGACAGGTTCCTTTCTACTTTTACATCTATTTCTGCAAGTTCTAAATCACTTCCCATTAGTTTCCTTATTTCTCCATGTCCTTCCTGAACCACCAGACTCTAGTCATTTACTGCTTCCATACATTGTACTAAGGCCCAATACTTCTCCTTTTTCCCATTCCTCTGAGGGAAATATATTAAATTTTCCCCAGATGTGGCTAATAGATTTTTGTTTTCATTTTTTGAAAAAAAAAAACCACGCCCAAACTCATCTGAGAATTATGTTCTCCAGACTGATCTGAAACTAGCAGTTGGAGAGATTCCTGGGAAGGAATAAGCCCTTCTCACCTTTCTTTCAATTTCATAGGATGATAAGATCACATATTTGTTGCTGGAAAAGACTTTACAGGACATATAGTCCAAACTCTACATTTTACAGATGAGGAAACTGAGGATCATGGGAGTGATGTAACTTGCTGAAGTCACACAGGTAGAAAGCAGAGGAACAGGGATAGAAAACCAGGTTCTCTGACTCCATAATCAGTGGTCTTATTACTTTATCTCAAAACTGCTTGTATGAAGGTATAATGCAATCATACTGGAACACTTGCCGTGCATTACACTATTTGCTGGTATTTTAGTACCATCTGGACTTTTAGCTAATTAAATTCTTGTGTGGTCTACAACTGTTTCTATGGCTTCATTAGAACAAAATTCATGTAAATAGCCCTACTACGCACCTGTCTAAGGTCATCAGCTATTGCAAACAAGCTTTCTGTGTCTAACAAATATTCTTTGGGCAGCAATTTGTACTTTGATAAAATTTAAAAAAAAACCAGTCTGTGAAAGAATTGGTAAGAGGAGTGAAAGTAAATGAATTAATAGTTTTAAGAAATGATTTTCTATCCAATTCTACTGAATTATCTTGTCAAGGGAAAAGGCACCCTTATTCTGCTTAGGCTAATCCCTCAACCTGTGCCCTGGTCTCTTGTCAGAGGTGTAAGAGACCTCAGAAGCCATCACTATCTTTACAAAATACTCAATAAGTGGTCATATCATCTTGCTTGAAGATCTCTAATAAAGGAGAACCTGGTACCTTGTGAGGCAGCCAAATCACTTCTGGATAGCTCTTACATTAAATCTTTATTTGCTTCTTTGCAACTCTTTATTGCCTCTGGTTCTGTCCTCTGAGGACACATGAACAAATCTAATCCCTTTTCCAAGTTACAGTCCTTCAGATTTTTGAAAACAGCTATCCCATAAATCTACTTAAGCTAAACATTTCCAGTTGCTTCAGTTGATCTGCATATGCATAGGTGTATGAAAGCCAGCTTGAATGGGATCCAGCCATTTATTAAATCTGCAGTGAGAGTACTTACACTTCTGAAATAGGCAAACTTCAAATCAGGGCTTGATTTCTTGTTTTGGTATTGTCTAGACCTAAGAGGGTTAATAATGTAGATAAAATGTATCTTTTTTTTCCTCTCAGGGAGATGGTTGTTAAACATTTATTAGTATATTCTTATCAATCTTGGAGACTTTTACAATTCTGGTTTACCTCTATTCTCCCTTTTATAAATGTTGTACAACTAGACAAAATACTTAGAATGGAGGATGATTAGGGTAAAGTACTAGGAACTATCACCTTGATCATCTTAGATACTATGCTTCTCTCAATATAAATAAAATCATATCACCCTTACAGTACATAAAAATCTTATAACTGTAGCACTTTTAGTCCACTAAATACCCCAGATCTGTTTCAGAAAAAAACTGCTGACCTGACATAGCTCCCTGGTTTCACAGCTGATAGGTTGCTTTGCTAAATTCAAGTTAAAGACTTTATACTTGTCCCTATTAAAATTCATATGATCAGATTTGGCCAATTGCTCCAGCCTATTGACATACTTTTGGATCTTGACATTGACATCCAATATGTTAGCCTACCCTCCTAATATATGAAAATTTGACAAATACATCATCTATATCTTTACCTATTGGCAAAGATATCAAACAGCACAGGGCCAAGCATAGATCCCTGGAGAGGTTCTCTAGAGATGATTTCCCAAGTTAAAAATGAACCATTACTAACTAGTGTTTGGACTCAGCCATTCAATCAGTGACAAATTCACCATATTGAACTATTATCTAGCCTACATATCTCTATCTTGAATGCACAAATAGCATGAGAGGCTTTCTCAAGCACTTTGCAAAAATTTAGCTATTATCTACAGCATTCTTTTGATGTAGCAGTCTAGTAACTTTGTCAAAACAAAAAGGAAATTAGATTAGTCTGGCATGACTTATTCTTGCAGCCATACTGGATCTTTGTAATGCCTGTTTATTTTTCTAAATGGTCAGCAACCAATCCTCATAAGAATACATCATATAATTTTACAAGGAATCAAGATCACGTTATTTGATTTATGGTTTATAGAATCCATTCCTTTTCACATTTTTAAAGTAATGACATTTGCCCTCCTCTAGTGCAATGACATGTCCCCTCCCATGATCTTTTAAAAATCTTGGACCCAATTCTTTCAGCGAAGCAAACTCAGGATTTTCACAGAATAAGAGGCATGGGGGCAGTGTGGCTAGAGTGTCTGGTCTGGTGTCAGGAAGACCCAAGTTCAAATATGGCCTCAGACATTTACTAGCTGTAGGACCCTAGGTAAGTCACTTAACCCTGTTTGCCTCAGTTTCCTCATCTGTAAAATGAGCTAAAGAAGGAAATGGTAACCCCCTTCAGTATCTTTGCCAAGAACATCCATGGGGTCATGAAGAGTCAGACATAACTAAGAAACGACTAAATCACTCCTTGTTATTGATTGTCCAAGATAGAGCATATTCCTATAGGCAAAATGGAAGTCAGCTTCCCTTCTTCACAGGCACAGGCACAGAGGAGAGCCCCTGCCTGTTTTAGCATACGGATGGCAAGAGGCTGGTAAACATAATTAATCTGGAATCGGAAGGCTTAAGGGTATTTCTACAACAGAAACAAAGAGGCCTTAAGAAAGTTGCCTAGAACTATAACTGGGTCACCAAAAAGGGGAATAATACTACAATATTTTATTGTCATTACAATAATCAGTATTATTATACACATTATTACAATAATACTCTCATCCCTTCCTGCTATGAGGCCTAATGACATAATAATAGTGTGACTTTGTTGCTTGTTTTGGGGAGAGACTAGCAATGTATCTTATTTGACACAAATGCGATGAACAGCTGGTTTTACAGAGTGGAAAGATCTTAGGTTGCAGGTTCTGAGGGTATATCCCTTAAAAGACACTGAATGGAAGTCACCTGCCCTCTCTACTCCACCAGGACACCACCACCATCACAACAAACAAAAACAAGCAACAAACTTCTTGAGGCTACATCACAGGGGGAGACAGACAAGGCCCTGATAAAGATTCATATAGAAGTGCTGTGGTGCTTGGGTGGGGAGCACTCCTTGACGGCTGAGCCTGTACCTAAGCGTACCCAATTTAAAAGATACTTGTTTCACCCAAAGTCTTAGTACCTTAAAGAAAATTCTGATGAATTCTTCAGTCTCAAGGAATTCTAAAACATGAATTGACCAATACAGAAAGGAAAATTTCCAAGGACTCAGGTTCATCAATAAAGAGTCAGAAGGAACCTCAGGGCTCAGATGGTCAAACACATAACAAACCAGGCCCATAAAGATTCTTCAGGTTGCCTAGA